CTGTAGTGACTGAACTAGTGTAAACAGGATGACAATGAGGTGAGCGGGATAACAGTAAGACAGACCGAGGCTGCACACAATATGATTGGACCGTAACAGGCTCGGCAGCGAACAGCTTTGGAGGAATGAATGAAGAACTAGTGTGCCGAAGTATGTATCGTAACAGTGCTCGGCCGCGCCAGTCCCTGACACTTCAGTATTTTTACATTCACGTTCACACAGCCTTACGCCACGCCATGGAGGTTGCAAATTGCAATCACAATGAACATTCTGATCCATATAACATATCAAAGCGCAATCGTCAATGAACAACAGAAGAAACAGAAGTTGGACAGGTAAAGAGTAGTCGGTCGTGTTGAAGACCTGCCTTCGAAAAGTAACATCAAGCCTTTGGCAAAAAATGGGCAGTGCGCCGTGGACCCTCCATGCCATCAACAGCGAAAGCACGAAACAGAAGTAAAATGAAGCATCAAGGGTCACTCCGCCGTGTTGAAGATGTGACTCAAACAGTAAGAGTAAGTAAAGAATATCAGAAACAAACGTGCAATGCGCTCGTGTAACAACAAAAGGCAGAAAGACAATGCGGGCGCACCTCACTGGCCACCATGCTCAAAAGAATCAAGACCACAGACTGAGACATGCATAAGTCGACCAGATCGACCGATCAATCCAGAACACATCCTGTAACTCAGCACAGGTGGTTACACACAGACGAAGCCATCCGAGACAGACGCCAAAAAATATACTCGAGGTCATCCCTCCGTTGCGACTGCGGGGCTTGCAAGACCACGGTCAGGTCTATAGAAAGCAAACCGCGCACGGTCAGCGCGCCTTTTCAGGCCTGAGAAGCTAGGAAGGGATGACAGAGCAAGAAAAGGACTCGTCACATACTGACCTCTTATATACTTTTGCTAAGCACCCGATCCGCTCAGCGCGCAGCCTGGGCCTGATTCGCATGCGATGAACACGGCAAAAGTGTTAAAAAAGAAGTGAACCACGGCGCGCGTTCCCAAGTACGGCATTTTTCGCCCCAGGACGAAAAATTACGGTATAGGACGTAAGCGTGATGACAAAAGATTGCCGCTTGCGTAGAGCAGCTCAAAAGAATAGAGGTTGTACGAGGGAATTAAAACGGTAGTAGAAAATCCATAAGACTTTCCGGAAGGAATCGCCCCACCCAAACGAACTGAGCAAGGTCTCCGCATGCTGATCGAACCCTGTAATGTAGAAAGTTGCAGAAAGTGCCTCGACGCAGTTCAGCCGCCAAGGCTTGGCGTAATTGGTGGAATTGGTAGCAAACAAGTAGGGAACTACCAATAACCCATCATCAACCAAAGAGACGTGTAAGATAAGAATGGACCTACGAAGTCGTTCGTGTGGGCTGGCAATTTTGGAGAATGGGACGTCGTCTATGCGGGCCCAGGAACATTCAACAACGGCAATACCATCTCGCACAACGATCTCTTTGTCTGCTGGACTCATGACGAGGGTCCCTTTTGGACTGGCGGAAAATATTGATGTTAGTGTAAACGAATGTTTGGAACGGGTAGACGCACGATACGACCACGCCTCAATATTTGGATCCCAGCCTCAGCTCCGTTATAAGACCGAGGCAGGCGAATTTCTTCCCAGAACATCGGCGTGGATCACAATGGTCGAAGTCCTTGATTGTTTGTATTAGAAAAACGGCTCAGAGCGAATGCCACATTAACGCACGAACATCGCAACAAGGACATCGATGTGCAGTCGCCCGGCTGTGCGCTCATGAGTGATCGTTCGACTACCTTGTTAAATCACTCACATTCATCATCTTCACCTCAGGAATGATTTGAGCTGTCATCTTCGATAATGCTTGAAGGCTTGGCAGAGTCCTCAGGGAAGCTAGAGAATGACTGGGATCGCTGAGAAGTTTTCGTGCTCTTATGTCGTTGTGCACGGCCACCACGTCTTGGTCTGTTCACACAGGAAGACGGAGCATTATTTTTGCCCATGATCGTGTGTACTGAACTCCTCAAGCTTTCGAGTCAAAAGATGACTTCACACGATGCGCATCAAGTCGGTGATCGCTGCTAAAACCCAAACGGAGTCGAAAGTACCGAGGGTTTTTTTTTGTATATCAACCCATTCACAACTGGGCGTATCACTTATGAAAAAGGAAGCGGTAAAGATGGAGGGTACAGGGATGCCCGGAGGGCCATTGTGAATTAGTAATGTAGGGAACGAATAACCGGTAATGTCCGAAACAGACATTATTTGTCATCAACTCGCGGACCATAGACAAGTCCGCGATTACATATACACGGTCCGGGTACTTACATTTAGCGTACCTTATTATATATACTGTAGCATTATTTCGAGTAGGAATTCAGTCCAATTAATTATCTCAAAGTCTTCATTCAAATACTACATTAAAGTTTACAGGTTATGAGCCCTGCTACTACCATGGATACGACGCTCCCCAGCTCCTCATCATTATATCATATCCCCTGTTGACGATCGATGATGTAACATAGGCGCATGCTACCATCTCCGGAGGATTAACCTCCAGAGCTTCTTTACTTTACCTTTTCCAGTCGTTATCATCCTTTACCTTTTCTAGTTCTTATCATCTCTTGGCACCTTCTGCACCATATGTCGTCCTCGCCGGTACTGATGTCACCGGCAGCTTCCTTCGCTTAGGTTCCCTACTTATATGTTCTTGTCCCCGTAGTTTCACCTCAGCGTCGTTTATCACGTCCCGCTGAGGTATGCCTTCTTGCTCACTAGTACTTGACCCTTGCTGACGTACCCTAGACTTGTCCTAGGTAGATTCAATGTTAGCATCGTTTATCACGTCCCGCTGAGACTTGTCCTAGCTTCGTACAGGTTATGAGCCCTGAGCTCTAGCAAAGCTCAGACACCCACAAAGTCGACGACTCTCGCATTAACGTATAACGTTCCCGCTGCAGGTCTGCACCAAACTCATCAAACTTCTCCCCAGTACCTCATCGTCATGGGGAAGTACAACTTCATCATCGAACTAACCGGCGCAGATGATTATCCTTCCTGGTGTCGCGCAGTGACCCTCGCTCTTCAAGGGGACGGACTGTGGAACCACTGTAGTTCTGGTACCGACCCTAACAATTACGCAGAATTCGCCTCAGTCATGCCCTCTCCGGCAGTCGCTGGGTCTCCTACTGCCACCAAAAAACAGAACATTATTGACTGGATCAAGGAGGACGCACAGGCGAAAGGTATTGTCTGTAGGAAACTCTCAGCCATCATTCAAGGTCTCCTCAACGAGTCCTGGACCGCGAGAGAACAGTGGAATACCTTAGCAACTCATTTTGGACGTCTAGATGTCACGTCTCAATTTGAACTTCGCGCACAGCTGTTTGCTGAAAAACTCAAGGACCCAGACAATACACCACGTTATATTAGTGCGTTTGAGAACGCTAGGCGCCGCTTCGCAGAGATGGGTGTTATAGTCACCGAGGACGAGCTGGTGTTCCTTCTACTCCACGGCCTTCCACACACTCCTGACTGGCTCATATTCAAGCGTATGACTATGAATTTGTACAGCACTCCCTCGACAATGTCTTCCACCTCCTCTGCCTCCGCTACCGCATCCACTACCACCACTAAGATGACCTTTTCGGCTGTAGTCACATCCTTATCCGAGGAGGCTAACCGTCTGCGAGGAGAACAGAAGCTTGCTGGACCTGGTTCGGAGTATGCGAATGCCACGTCATTCAGGAACTTCGACAGTGGGAAGACTAACCCCAAGACTGGGATCCGCATTCATAGGTCTAATCCCAAGGGGGTGAGTTGCGACAACCCGCTGTGCACTGGGCAGCCACGCTCCTTCACACACGATCGGGAGCACTGTTTTCAGTCGGGAGGAGGAATGGAGGGCCAGGGAGGCAACAGGAATCGTGAGAGGAAGCCGAGTACCAAGAAACCCGAGGTCTCCACTGTGACCAGTGAAAGCAATGCCTCTTCGTCTAACCCAGCACCAGCAGCGCCACCTTTGTACTCCAGCAGCACTGCTGCTGCTGTCCATGACCTATCGTGTGCTATACTGGAGGAAATCCCATTCGACGATCCCGAATCTTACCCAAGCTTTGATGATGTCGCCTGCATATCCGGTCAGATGCTATCTACCATCTTGGACTCTGGCACTACGTCAAATCTCATCATTGATCGCTCTTACTTCTGGACTTATTCAGAAAACTCCACTGTTACTGTTAAGACCGCTAATCACGGCAAACTCGCAACGTCAGGGCGCGGTAACTGCATCGCAGAATTGATGCTTGGAGGAAGAACTTTCCGTATCACGTTCACGGACTGCCTGCACGCACCTGGGGCAATGATTAATTTGCTCTCAGTCGGACATATGCTGAAAAGGAAGTGGTCCTGTGCCTTTGAACACTCCCTGGCTCGCTGTCAGCTCAAGTATCATGGTGAGCTCTTGGGAGAACTTCCGACCTGCATTTCACACTCGAGAACTCTCAGCATTCGCTCGCTCACCGCTGTCCCTGGACTTATGGCACGCTCGGATGGGTCACCCAGGAGGAGATGCTGTCAAGCGTCTCAAGCACACAGGTACTGGAGTAACATTCGAAACGTCAGCTCCCCTTCAATGGTGCGAGCCTTGTATCATGGCAAAGCACCCTTGTAAGCCCTATCCACCTTCCTTGGAGCAGCGCACCAGTCACATGCTGGACCTGGTGCACTCTGACTTATGCGGTCCTTTCCCCATCGCTACACCTCACGGCAAACTGCATTTCGTAATCTTCCTCGATGACCATACCAACCTGCTTAATCTTCAGCTTCTTGCAACAAAGGATCAGGCGCTGGAGGCTTGGAGGATCGTTAAGGCACGCTGGGAGAATCATTCGGGTCATACTGTGCAAATCTTCCGCTCAGACAATGGAGGTGAGTTCCTTAGTAAGGCCTTCGTGAAGGACCTTCAGGACTCCGGGATTGAGCGACAGCTCTCCGCACCCTACGCTCATCAACAGAACAGAAAGGCAGAGCGTGCAATTCGCACAATTGAGGGTCGCCTTTTTGCGATGTTGGAAACGGCGGGCCTCCCTGCGAACCTTTGGGGAGAGGCAGCACTCACGGCATGCTACTTGTGGAACAGAAGCGCTTTGAGCACCCTACCTTCGGATGTCACTCCTTATGAGATGGTGAATGGCCGAAAGCCTGATCTTTCTTACCTCCGGGTGTTTGGCTCCAAGTGCTTCGCACGCATTCCCACCGAGCTGCAGACCAAACTCAGTCCTCACTCATGTCGTGCCATTTTTGTAGGCTACCCCGAAGGTACAAAAGGCTATCGTCTACGTGACAGCAATGGGTCCTTCTTCACTGCTCGTGATGTCATTTTTGACGAGCGCTTCCCCACTATAGGTCCCGAGTCTCGGGACTCTGATTCTGAGGATGAGGTTCCCACGACTCACCTTCCTCCTGTTTTACCCTCTGTCGCCACTCCAATCACTCAGCCTTCGCAGCACCCTTCACCACTTCCCCTTGTACCTGCCCAGCGTTCTGGCAGGGCCAAAGTACTTACACCAGCTGGACACACCTACGCAGAGGAGATGGCGGCCACCAAGGATCGTATTGCGCGCTTACGCGACTCACAGGCGGCACGTGCAGGGTCTGCTCACTTGAGTGAAGGGGTGAGGGAGATGGCGAATACAGACGAAGGAAAAGATGCAGGAATAGAGGAGAACTTAGCGGATATAGAGCCGAATGTCGACATTCCCGAAGTCTATGCTAACGTCATGATTGAAGAGCACGCACATATCACCATCCGCAGCGACCGCAAATGAGACCCCAACAGCCCTGGGTACGACATGCGAATTCCCCCAGCTACGTATGACGAAGCCATGTTGCGCACTGATCGCGACGACTGGCTGGCGGCTATGCGAAAAGAGCTTCGCACTATGGATGAAATGCACGTCTACGAGCTCGCTCCCCTCCCCAACGGTCGCAAAGCAATAGGCAACCATTGGGTTCTCGAATTCAAAGAAGACAACAAGGGAGGATCAACATTCAAAGTGCGCCTTGTCGCTCAAGGGTTTTCACAGATACCGGGAGTAGACTACAGTGCAACATTCGCGCCAGTACTAAAAACCGCGTCCCTACGCCTCATCGCTGCTCTCGCCTGCAAAAACGACTGGGAGCTCCACTCATTTGACGCAACTCGAGCCTTCCTCTGGGGTGTACTCAAGGAGGACATATACATGCGCCAACCTAGAGGCTTTGAAGAGGGCGACTGGAGGGTGCAGGTTTGGCGGATGCTCCGCACTATATACGGCTTGAAGCAGTCTGCGATGGAGTGGTACGAGCAGGTCAGAGCAGTCATGGGAGAGTTGGGCTTCTCACGTTGTGAGGTCGACTACGCAGTCTTCATCTTCGACAGTCACGCAACCGGCACCCGCATCATCTGTATAATCGGATTCCATGTGGATGACGGTATGGGAACGTCAAACTCACCATCATTCCTGACATGGGTGAAGCAGCAGATTCACAAGCGTTTTGGAATAAAGGACATGGGCCCAGTCACTAAGTTTCTCGGCATACAGTTCAAACGTAACCGAGGCTCCCGTCAACTCTGGCTGCACCAGGGTGCGTATATCACATATCTGTTAGAGGAATATGGCATGCTCGATTGCAATCCTGTCCGTCTCCCTCTCGACTCTCACCACCCGTTCGGCAAGCCTGATGACACCCATGATGCAGTACCCAACATCCTCACCCAATTCCACAAACTCGTGGGCGAATTGCTCTTCCTTGCAGTCTGCACCCGCCCAGACATATCCTACGCCATGAACTCACTCGCACAGCACAATT